AGTCAGTTCATTTTAGAGTCTTTTAACAGTAACTGGACATAGGCCTAATTATTCACTGTGGAGCAAAGTAAACCCTTTAGTTGAGGGGTCAATGCCAAAAAAATCACCATTTTTGATGCGATAATGTCTTAATAATCCAGAAAATACACTGTGTACAAACCACACGTGGGTGAACTTAGTTTTAACTGGCTGGGGCACAAGGACAATGTTTCCTTGTTTTGAAAATTAGCACTTTTTAAGCATCTTTTTTTTTTTTTTTTACTCAAATCTTAATAATCAGTGTGACTCTCCATAAACATAATCACTTTACACATGATTATGATTTATTAATTCCAAGGAGATCTTGCCTACATGATTTTTCCCATTTATCCATTTTGGGGGATGTACAGCAAGCGTCCTAACCTTGATATGCTCAAAACTTTTGTTCTGCAGGCATTGTATAGAAGGCACCCATCACTGGTGGAAACTCAGGGCCAAAAAGCCCTAGAGCAAAGACCAATGGTGTCACAGAAATCTGTCTTGACTGTCTAATTGCTACCAAACATTTAACTACATAAAAACAATTATTAATAGTGAAAATAAATGCAAAGTGCAATGGCCAGGCACGCATGCATAGTATGGGGATATTAACAAAGGCAGCAAGGCCCAGAGGCAAGCAGGGGAAGCCCGGGGACACTGACGGACACAGGAGACAGCGTTACAGTACCTGACAGCTTGTGAGAGCAAGAGGAGTAAGAGAGACCAGGTAAGAGAGCGCTCACGGTGTGAAGGAGGAGCGGGACGCTTTTAGTGGCAGGCAAAGCCTCAGAGAGGTGGACACAGTTGCTGATAGACTGGCTTCGCTTAGCTTCCAAGAGAGATAAAGTAATAATTATATCAGAAGCACATCAGGATCTTTTACTTTTCTTTTTTTTTTTTAACTGTTGATATTTTTGTGAGCTTTCTTTCAAATTTAAAAGTCATTTTAAACTTTAAAAGAAGTCAGTACAAAGCAGACTATTTAACTATAGTCTCTAAATACAGCCAACCTTCAGTCATTCTGAGGACATGGGAGAATCAACACTCACATTGTATATCACTTTGTATCAGACTCACATTTGGGTTCTTTATTGGGGCAGACACGATAATCCATTTTCCCTTCCTAAAGGACACACACATGAAAAGACAATGGGGAGAGAGGGAAAAATCTAGCCCAAGATTAAAACTGTTCTATAAATAATTTAAAAATTGGTTTACTGAGAGCTGACTATATTCAAAAGCAAATCACTTAGTAAATTAAATATCCTAAAGAACAGAGACACATGAAAGTCAAGTTGAACATTTTAAAAGATTTGATATTTGTCGGAGAAAGCAAAAATCTCCATGAACCCCATCATTTCATATCATATTTTGTGCTTGTTAAATCCATAATTTCTTAATACGAGCTTTATGATGTTCTCAAGTTTTCTACAGAGTGCTATTTAAATGACCATTTGAGAAAACAGATAAACACAGGAAGAGAATATGCCTCATATATACGAAACCACCATGATTAAGATCAGTTTTATCCTTAAAACTAAAATATAATGGTTGACTTGTTATTTTATTATTTTTATGTGATTTTATTTCACATTTACAGAATAGAAGTAAGTACAAATGGTAATGACACATTTACAGAGGGTGAAACAAACTTTTACTTCTTTGCTACGCCCCCTCCCACCCCCCACCCTCACCCCTCCACTCCCTCCTCTGGCTGTCAGAATTCCCAGGTCTGATTCCCACAGGGAATCCACAGGGACTACCTGCAATGTCATTACAGTACATTTCACAAATGGGTAAAGATGATACTTAAAATGACTTCCACGTGAATGTCAAAATGACTTACTTCAAATTTCCTAAAAGATATGGTCATCTCTCAACGTCAGAGGGCATTTGAAAGAGCTTTCTTTTTATAAATCAAATGTGTATTTTTCCAAAACTGATCGCTAGATATTTTAGAAATAATAAAACATAATTATATTATAATTATAGTAATTATTTTGTGTGGAAACTGACTTGCTTTAATCACTCATTTTAGACATCTAAAATTTCCACATCATTCACACTCAGGAACAAAGTTTTCCTTTATAATTCTTTTTTTTTTAATTTTTAATGTTTTATTTATTTCTGAGAGAGAGAGAGAGAGAGAGAGAGAGAGTGAGTAGAGGAGGATCAGAGAAAGAGACACACACAGAATCTGAAACAGGCTCCAGGCTCTGAGCTGGCTGTTAGCACAGGGCCCAACGCGGGGCTTGAACCCACGAACTGCGAGATCATGACCTGAGCCAAAGTCAGACACTTAATGCGAGATCATGACCTGAGCCAAAGTGAGACACTTAACCGACTGACCCACCCAGGCACCCCTACTTTATAATTCTTTAAGACTCTCCTTGTGAGTTCCTTCTAAGTTGAAAACTACTTCCTTCTCTGTTAAATTGTTATTTCTCTACTCTGCAATTGCTATTATTTCTGTCTTTCTACCATCACTACATTTTCTCAATAATTTTCTTAATCTAGATTAAGTATAGTCATTGGAGCAAGTTATTATTATACTATATTATATTATATTATTTTCCTTTAATATTTATTTATTTACTCTGAGGGGGGGAGGGGCAGAGATATGGAGAGAGAGAATCCCAAGCAGGCTCTACACTGTCAGTGCAAAGCCTGACACGGGGCTCAATACCAAGAACCGTGAGATCATGACATAAGCCAAAATCGAGAGTTGGTCACTTAACCGACTGAGCCACCCAGGTGCCCCTATAATATAATAATCTTAAATTATTCTCATACTGGGATTAGGAAAAAAAATCACTTTCAAATGGGTCTTCCATAATAAACATCTTAATGCTAAAAGTGGCAAAAACTGTGTGAGCTGCTGTTCTCATTAAAAGGTAGCCTCCACACAATCAACATCTACCATGAAAGCATTCTAGCCTTTTTAAAAGATGGAAAGGCAAGTTATAACACAATGTAAAAATAACAAAACTGAGTAAAACCACTAATAGTCTATATAGATTAATTTTATAAAACAGCATGATATAATAAAGTCTTCAGAGACTGTTGTTTTCACAGGCAGCTAAAAGGATAAAAATGTAAAAAAAAATAGGAAATACATATGCACTGCAAAATACACATAGATAATAGATTGAACCAACTCAATAGCTCTTATCCCGTTATCTTTTTTATTTTTTTAAGACTTTTTTTTATGCTTTATTTATTTCTGAGAGAAAGAGAGAGAGAAAGAGAGAGAGAGCCGGGGAAGGTCACAAAAAGAGGGAGATACAGAATCTGAAATAGGCTCCAGGCTCCGAGCTGGCAGTCAGCACAGAGCCCGACGCGGGGCTCGAACCCACGAACCGTGAGATCATCACCTGAGCCAAAGTCGGAGGCTTAACTGAAAAGCCACCCAGGCGCCCCCTGTTATCTTTTTTAAAGGTTATGGTTTTGAGTGTTTTTAATTTAATTAATCCTACAAAGGCCAGGTTTATGACTTTAAAGCAACATATTCTCAAAGACCCTTCCATGATTTTGTAAGAGTTCTTACTGCTGCAATACCATGTGTTTCCAGACGCCTGAGAACACTGATAAACAGAAGCTCACTGGCATAAATGCACTGAGGATTATCGAGAACAGTACCGGTGCCACCTCCATATTGTTGGTCTAAAATACCTGCTGAGAAACTAAAATGCAATCTCTTCTGTGGCTGTGTTTTGGCCAAGTAGGGGAATATGGAACATGCAACATACAATAGTTGGCTGCTCATTAAAGTGTGAAAGTGAAGTTTTACACAGTATTTTGAATGATCACTTTTATTATCATTACAGTTCAAGGGCTGTGAGGGGTAGCAGGGGGTCTGGGCAGTTCAGGCATGATGACATTTTGCTGCAAACTTCTGCTCTGATCCAATGACGAGAGAAAGGAGTTTCTAGGAGTTGAAATGTTAAGGAAGTCAGTGTGCAAGCCTTCCCCAAAGTTGCCTGTTACCAAGAACTGAGTCTCTCCTCACGGGAGAGGATGAAGGAGAGCAGGAGAAGAGGAACAGGAGGTGAATGTCATAAGGTGATAACTACCAACAAATGTTGTGGCAAAAAGCATTAGACAGTTAGGGTTAAGGTATAATGTATTTTCTTAAATGCTCTAACAGGATTCTAAGCCATCTGTATGAAGCCTTTACTAAGCACTGTAAAATATGTTGACTGAAAATGACTCTGATTTATGATCAGAGGATATTGTGACTTTCTGCAGTTAACACACTGAATATTGATTAAAACAATGTGGTAGTACTGATGTGAAAAATGACGGGAAACTCAGATAAATTTGTTTTAAACCTAACTTACAGCCTCAAAGTCACGGGAGGAAAGGGGTTTTATTTGTTCTTATTAAATACTGGATATAAGTTTACTTTTTTAAAGGTTTCTCTTTTGGTTTTAAAAGTGTAGCAAACAACTCCAAAAAACCGGGGATTCTTGGTCAAGTTCTTGCTAATTCTAACAGGTGAGGAGGACAACATCCACAAGCACATAAAGCTCAATTTCCCAAAGAACCCCAAAACTTAAACGTCTCCCTCCAGTCCTGAAAACTAAATGCATTTTTCTCTCTTCCTGTGTTGGAACAGTTACCACATTAGGATTACTACTGTTCAACAACAATAAGGCAACTAACTGTGTGATTACTAAGAATCTATTTCCCCTAAGGTTCAAACAAAAACATCTATTTTCTCTCCTTTGCACAAATATCTCACTCAATATTAACATCTCAAGCTCTTTTTCACAATGAAGGACTTAGAAATAAGTATCAAAAATGGATTTGAAACATAACCAGAACAGACAATTAAAAGATACGGAGACATCTCATTTAATACAAGGTCATGTATTTACATTCTAAGTGGAATTTTAAAACTTTTAAAACATTTTATTCCTATAAACCCATTTGAGATAGCAACTGGACCTTACAGAAGAAAAATTTAAATAAATATTTACCAGTTGCTTTTTGGCGAACAATATTTCTTGCCTTCTCAACTCCTGGTGCCCCAGATGTGGTGGCACTCCTAGATCTCATTGGCTCAGTCACATCTGGGTGGCTCCGCCAGCTGAGAGAAAAGGATCTCCCAACAGTGGTTCCTTTCTGAGAATCCAGAACACAGCCTGATAGAGGATAAGACGAGAAAAGTCATTATCATTCATTGCATAGCCTGTGTTGCTCAGAAAATTCCATAAATACAACTGTAAATAATCGACAGACTCTCGTTGCAAAAGTAGGTACCAGTTCCTTATACTGCAATAAGATGGTTTGCACATAATAGTAATCTAGAAATTCCTTTTGCCAAAGTATTTCTCAAGCATCTCCAACAGCCTCATAACAAGTATATCTTCACAGTACTCCAATATAAAAAAAAAATGTGAAGAAAACTTTCTCAATAAAAGAACAATACCAAATGAAGTTATGCCACTGCTGCCAGGTCACTCCAAAAACTACTTTTATAAACCACAAAATTAGAGGTCCTGGGTTTAGAATAGCGCTCCATCCCAGAGATGCCAACTTCTCCACAAATTCCCTAGAGAAATTCATGCTTGTAAACTCTAATCACAGTCAAATGAAAATCTATGAATAATACAAAATCCCATTTTAGCAAGGCTCCAAAAACAATAAAATACTGCAGCTTGGTAACCCAACTTCTCTGCTTTCCTCTCATATTACTCTGGTCAAATATTTCAAATGAGTAGCCAGGGTTCCAAAAGAAATACAGGGGCAAAGAGAATGAGGCAGAGATTTCTGCACAGGTTATGATATGGCTGGTGGCTGCCATCTGTGGTCTGTTTTCACCCCCAGGTTCCTGAGAGTGTATTTTGTTTCCACAAGTCCAGTACTTAGAAGGCAAGTATTTCCTTAGTGAATACTTAAAGCCATTTTTTAGAATAAAGCAATGTAAAAGAGAAATCAGAAGTATTTACCATAGACATTGATTAAATGATTAAATTCATTCTGTATAATTCCATCAGTAGTGTTTTTCAAAGTGTTCACCTTCCTATAAATAAAACACAGCCACAAACTGCAACGAAGATGTAAGAATCAGTCACATTAACTGTATGACTGTATGGTGAAGTAATCACCTTAATTGGCTCACACCTCCCTATACCCACATCTTTTGTTGTCCTCTCCCACAGTGACTCTGGGCTTCATCACATGACTTACTTTTGGTAGCAAAACTGAGCAAGCAAAAATTTGAAATGCACTCAAAAACCTGGGCTTGCCCCATTGCTGCTCCTGGAACCCTAAGTCCTTGCACAAAAAGCCTGAGCTGGCCTGCTGGGTGATGAAAGGTATATGGCCAAGTCCCTCCCATGGCCCCAGCTGACAGCTGGCCAATCCCTAGAGCTGCCTAGATGATTATTTCACAGCCTCACTGACTGCAAACACACGACTGAATTCAGCAGAACTGCCCAACTGAGTCCAACCCAAACTGCCAACTCATAAAATCATGATCTAAACAACTGGCTGTTATTTTAAGCTGCTATGTTTTGGGGTGATCTGTCACCCAGCAAAAGCTCATATAATCTATAATAAGGCTATTGTTGAGGCTGTGGTCTACTACAGCAAGTAATGTACACTTTGTGAAGCTTTGGAGGGGAAATTCCTCTCACGTCTTAGGACCAGGAGAAGCTATATATCACTTAAGCTGTGGACTGTTTTCACCTTTTGTGATCCGTGATCCCCTGCTGTAACCCTGTGAAGATCAGAGTCAAATCCAAACTTGCCCCCTCCTACCTCCCCAGGAAGCAGAGGAGGCTCTCCAGCACACATTCTGACATTTATAACCGCTCCTCTAATTTTGCCCCACTCCCTCTAATTTTGCCCCAGTGTTCTTGTGTATTTTTTCTATCATATTATAGGTGCTTCTATGAACTGCCTCAAAATCTTTAAATAATAAATTGGAGTACAAGTGAATAAACCCGAGGACTATGTCACAGCCTTAAAACAGTAATGAAGACAAATAGTTACCCCCAGTAGAAAACACCACTGATGTTTTCACCCTTGATCTGACTCTAGGTCTCAAAACAACTTTTACCCAGAAACACAATAAAGCCAAAAGGACTCCCACTTGAATCAATCAGAAGTTTTCCACCTTACCTAGGTAGGCAGTGGAATATGCCCTTCTAGGGTATTGCCTTGAAATGGGTTGCCTAGCTTTGATTTCTGGCTTTCCCATGCATTAGCTACATGGCCTTGAATGAGCCCATCACTGTGGACTCTCTGTGCTTCAGTTTCTGTCTGTGACATGGGGATGATAGTATCCACCTCAGAGGTTACTAAGAGGGTGAAGAGAGATAATGTGTACAGCACTAGTCATTATTATATTATCATTGCTACTACTGTTACTCCCCTTCACCATCCTAAAGAGGTCAGGTTGCTATGAAATACAATGCAACACCATTGAAAAGATACTGCCTGCATGGTTGGTTCAGTTTATTGTGGAATTCCATGCATTAATTGCCTCCATGTACTAACACACACTCCTCCCCAGTCTCCGACATCAGTGTTCCCCTGTAAAAGTAGAAGTACCTTTGCCTCGCTGCTTCTTTTCCTTTTGTTCACTTAATTTATCCAGAGGTAGGTTTGTCATCTCAACTCCATAAACGGTTCTCGCGAGCACTGCTGTCAAGGAGTCCATAATGTTGGCCCACTCAGTTATGAGCTCCTCCCATTCCGTGAGGGAGGACAGCACACCAAGAAAGTCATCCCAGAGCTCTCGAGAAATGTATACACAGAGGTTTGCTCGGATCCATGCCACCATGAGCGTCTAAAACCAACCAGCCAACAACAGACTTGAGTCATCCTCATTTGGAAGAAGGATTTTTAACAAAATATTTTAAATAACTATTACTAAAATGAACTTTGAAATAATAAAAAGCACGTGATCTTGTTTTTCTTTTTAGTTTCTCAGAATTCATTTGATCAACTGAAACTAGGACCTAAGCTAATGAGAAATTAGTTATCATTATGAACAAAGCTCCTGATTGAAAATCCCTTTAGTGCCTGCAGCTGGTCCTGGCTATAATCAGGGAGAAGACAAAGGTCTCAGTACTACAACTATCTGCTTCTTGGACAGCTCTCTCTCACTCTCTACAATGGCTACTTCTGGCATCCTCTTCAATATGTAAACCTCCAACTCCACCAACTCCTTCCTGCTTCTAGCAAATGAACTCACTGCAGATTTAAGAGAAAACAGAAACCATTAAACAAGACCCACGAGACCCATGTGTTTGCCCAGCTTCTGAGAGGCTCCTGCCCTCTCTGCTTGTTCCTATCTCTACTCTGAACTGCCTCCTTGGTCTTTGTGTTTCCATGAACCCTGCCTCTCCTTTATCTCCAATCTATCCTACTAACCAAGCTCTTCCCCAGCAGCATTCAAACATGCTCCAAGTCTACCTCATCTTAGAAACAAAAAATAAAAAAGTTCCCTTGACCTCAGATTCCTCCGTCTAGATATAACATTTAAAGCCAAACTTCTTGGAAGAATGTTTCCACACTCACTGCATGTATACCTCCTCATCTCCCCAATCGACTTCTCTGGCTTTCTCCCTTCCTATGCCACCCCACCTCTGCCAGGGTTCTAGTCTCCATTCTTGTGGCTCTAGTTACCACCTATACAATTTTCTGAATCTCCAAGATCAGCCCAGACCTCTCTGGTTTCCTGACCCTGTTGATCTGTGTACTAGACAGTTCTACTTGCAGGCACCTGCAGGCATGATAGCAAAAAGAATTCAGCTCTTGCACTGAGAGCCTTCCAGTTCCTCAAACTGGTCCTGGCCTTTGCATGTAGCTTTTCTTCCTCTCTTCCTTTCTTTTTTTGCCTCTTTAACTCCCACTCCTTCTTTGGGTCACAACATAGACATTATTTCCTCCAAGGTGTCCCCAATTGCTACCCCACTCAACCTCCAGTAAGTAGCATCCATTCTCACCACTGTCTGCATTCCCTTATCAGAGCACTTTCCTTAAGTGTCTACTCATTTCTCTGTGTCTCTTCTCTAGCCTATGGTCCACAGCACTACAAGTGGTCACATGGGCAACCCTACCAGACGCATGTGCATATATTCTGGATATCTCCCTACCTTGAAGTTGCCTAGTTCTTTCCCTCTGCCCAAATATTCCAAACCATTTAAATTCAAATCAAAATACATCTCCCTTGAAAGAAGTGACAAGTCCATTTCAGGTGAGCCACAAAGGCTTTCTTAATCTTACTAGAGGGCATCTTTATATCCAAAGTCTGCATAACTTCCCCAATCTGTTGTCAGAGCTAAATGTTCTTGTTAAGATGCCAACCTGCAAATATTTCTGCCCACCCCAGATGCAGCTAGACCCCCCATAGGTTGTCCTATGCATGGAATAGGGGTGAGCTGGGTTTTTAACTAAAGAGAAATTTTTCTTTAACATACACATAGGAAAGCTTTGAGAGGTAGAAAAGTCTGTAATTACGTAGGCCTGTTCTGACCACTTGAAAAATCATATTTAAAGTGACCCCTTATGCAATGTACCTGTTCTCTATGTTTCAATTCATGTTTACCACACTCTTTAAAATTTTTTTTTTAATGTTTTATTTATTTCTAGGAGAGAGAGAGAGACAGCGTGAGCAGGGGAGGGTCAGAGAGAGAGGGAGTCACAGACTGAAACAGGCTCCAGGCTCTGAGCTGGCAGTCAGCACAGAGCCCGACGCGGGGCTCGAACCCACGAACGGCGAGATCATGACCCAAGCGAAAGTCAGACGCTTAACCGACTAAGCCACCCAGGCGCCCCTTTACCACACTCTTTAAAGGGGCAAAAATGTGAGAGTTGAGCTAAACTCATTAACTATATTGAAAACAAAGTTTTAAATTTTCATATGTAAAATAAGATTCTAATATGGATAATTTTTTAGATCAAGAACAGTGCAAAAGAAAAAATAAACAATTTTATCATTTATTATTTCTAATATTAAAGTATTATTTATTATCATTAAAATGCCATCTTCTGTTTATTCAATTTTACACTCTTTTCTTCAAAACGAGTTTGAGGACATTATTATAAAGTGCATATACACAATAAAATTAATAAATAATAGCTAAAAAAGATAATATTAGCAGAGTAAGGGGAAAAAGGAGAAACTGGCAATATTATCAGCACTCAGTCTCATGTCTGGTTATAGCACTAGCTTCAGATTAAAAGCAGAGTTTTTGTGTGGTAAAAGACACCCTATGCTGGGAATCCTGCATTGGCTCCACTTTAATTATAAAACAAGCACGGAACAGTGACTTCCTACAGCTTATAAAAATCTTAGCAAATCTCACAAACATGTACACAGATCTGGTGAATCATCCCCATCGTAAGTCACCGCTGACAACACTTGAACCCAGAGCAAAACAGTCACATATAGTGTGTGGGTAAGGGGTGGCACCTTTGCGCAGGAAGGCAGAGTGTCCTTTGAATAAGTTACTCTTCTCTAAGAGAAGGAGGGAAAGGGAGAGCTCCAGACTCTAACTTGATTTGTGAACTAGGCTACTTACTTGGCTTTTTCTGGAGTCATTTTCTCATCAAAAGTAAACAGCTAAATAAGAGCATCTCCAAAGCTGCTCCAGCACTAAAATTCATGCTTTATCAAACACAGCTTGACAAACAAGCTGTATAAAAAAATACATGCATTCATAAGCCACTCCTTTTCTTATGTACATTTCCTGGCCAACCACATGCTACATTTCTCGACTCACCACACTCAGGGGACTATATAATTTTAAATACTACAACTAGAAGGAGCAGAGTCCAAGTTTCCTGATATACTTTGAAAGCTTCAAGCATAAGGACCTATTTAGCACTGATAACAGGTTAAAATATCATTTCTGGCAAATCCGGTAAATATCTAAATAAAACCTAACTCATCTGCATGTCATCCTTGCACAGGGGCCATGCTAATCTTCTCTGTATCGTTCCAATTTTAGTATATGTGCTGCCAAAGCGAGCACAAAACCTAACTCATTTGAAGAAAATGTGCCAACCCAAGTTATCTACTGATAAAGAAAAAACTAGATGTTAGAGGAAAAATTCAAAAAAGAAAAAAGATAATAGCCACTCAAAATTTCCTGTTCCCTTTAATAACTTTCCTTATTCAAATTTTTAAAACTCAAACATCTGGCAATTGTAGACAGTCTACATGAGCGAACAAATAATAATTTGATGGCACATTTAATTTTAGAATGGAATTAAGATGATGCCCACTTGACTGCCTGGTAGAGCTGTCCAGACCTTTCACATTTTTCTCCTCCCTTGGATCCCACAAAAGGGCTTGGGAGGTCACCAGATGATCATAAATCCCAGATGAACCCACTCTGATTCTTAGGACAACCCTGCAACGGGTCCCTTCCTGACTGTGACAGATTGGGGAAAAGACTCAGAAAGGTGAAGTGATTTGCTCAAGGCCACACAGCCAGGAAGTACCAGAGCTCAGTACTCTGTCTACCTCCAAAAATCTCCTCTCCTCTCCACTCTTTTGTGGTTGCTTCTTAATTTAAGCCTTCTTCTTGATTCATATAAACATGGCCAAAATCATAATGATGCCATCAAAATCATTAATAATCATGGACTTAAAACTAATTTTCAAGATCTGACAAGATTCTCCATTAATAAGGAGGATTTTTCTCCCAAATCAAAACTAATCAAACAAAAAATACAACTCCATGATAGATTCTTGTTTAATTCAGACAAGTTCTTGCTCCAATTCCAACACAACCAATAGGTGCAGGGCCAGGCAACTGGTAAGGAATGAGGCCCAAGCACTCACCAGCCTGAGCCTGGCTTCAGCCCACATCACTTGGTAGCTCCTGTCCCATCAGGACTGGGAGACTGAGAAGAAGGTGCTGACCGTGAAACTCTCCATGAGAGTATAGCAAAGTGAACAGAGTGTTTGTACATCTGAACGGGCAGCAAAGCAAGTGGTCAGCACCACACTTGAGACAAGGTTGAACACACATAAAGGATGGGTAGACCACTTCATACATCTACTAACTAGGCAAGGCAATCAGAGTAAGAGTGATTATACCATTCCAAAGGCAAGTGAGAACATGCCAATTATTTCTGCAGCCTCTCATGTATTTTTCATCAAGCCAAGATCATTCAATCCTATTAAACTATTGAAAATTAATATAAACAGTTGGGTTTTCCTGTGTTACAATGGGAATACATAACTTTATTTAAAGAACTGATTTCTCTGTGTGTCACCTTCACCTCCATATCCTACCTGTATTCTACATATGCTCTTTGTATACATCTCCAAAACCACCTTCAAGTCAACAGAGGAGGGAGGTTGACTTTTCCTCCCTGCATCCATCACTTCCAGCTCATGATCTGCCATGCTATCTCCTACCAAATTATTCAAAGCAGGCGCATCTATTGTATGAATGCCTTTATTTATATACAACGTCACCTGAGTCCTTTTACGTTGTTCTCTTTCAGAAATGCTTCATAAATTCTGAGCATCCCATAAACACTAGTGCTTTCTAAAGCAATGTTGCAAGTCTACTGCCCTCAGGATCTTTAAAACTCCTACTTCCTATGCAACCAGTTCACTGTTGGCCTCTTCTCTTCCCCTCAGGGTGATGTCAGACTACTCACATTCTTGACCCTTTTCACCCTGTGACATCTAAGAAACACCCATCTCCTTGGCTCTCTGCTCCCACCTACAGCCAGCCCAGCCCTGTTCACCTCATTCAGAACTTCTCTTGTGTAGTTCTCCTCTCTCTCCCCCTAAGGCTGTCCTCACTGGACCATGCCCACTGGTAAGCAAACAGACTTTAACACCACCCACCTTAAGCCTTGTCCTCCACGCATGCTGCCCACTCAGCTGGCTCCCCTTTTCATTCTCCCTTCCACCTCTGCAAAGCCCTGACTATACTTGCTACCTTTGTTTCTCCGGTCTCGTTTTCTCCTCCATCCACTCCAAGTGGGCCCCATTCCCCTAGTACATTCACAACCACCAATATCTTGTCAAAACTAATGATGAACTGTCATTCTTCTCTTACCCAATACTCATCTCCAGGCATCCAGACACATACTCTGCTAGTTTCCCTCCCAGCTCCAAGGCCACCCTCTTTCAGCATCTTTGGCTGCCTCCTTTCCTCCACCAATCATGGAGATGGATGGCCCTCTCCTTTCTAGGGCACATATTCTCTCCATGGTGATCCTACCTAGTCCTGTGATTTTAAACACATAGCCCAACATATCAATGGCTCTCACATTTTTATGTCTAGCCTGAACCACTCCCTGACCTTATCCTCATTCCCATGCTTCCATTTACCCTTTACTTCCTCAAAACTACCTGGGCCCTCGACCAAGGACATCAGCTCTTGTTATCTTCCTAACTTCTACCAATCTCAACAAATCAAAACAAGAAGTAGACAGCAGACAGGTGGGAAGGCCTGAAAGAAACCTAGCTCTAATTGTGAAAAAATAGATTATAATCTTCAAGACAAAGAAGAAAAATTGCTAGAAATTTAGTTTAATGTTACTCTTAAAATTCTCAATGATTAAAATTATTTTGCTATAAAATCGGATTCATTTCTTGCATTTGCAGTGTTTTAATAAAGAAGACTTACCCTAAACAGTAACCCTGCCAAGCTCTGGGCAAACAAGTCCTTTATTTGTTTATCCTTTGGCTTCTGCATGACAGCTTCTGTTATTCTGAGTAGTATTTGCAACATCTGTTCCCTGGGCCACCCAAAATAAAAGCTCATATTATTAATTATATCTCCAAAGCACTTTAATTTATAGGTACAAGAAATTCTCTTAAAATTTAGCAACATTGGTAATCATGTATTACTCAAAAGTATTAATAATCTGAATGCTGATTATATAAATGAATACCATATTTTATCAAAATAAATCACCTTGTGTTACAATAGTTCTAAAAATATGTGCCCTATGCCCACATCAATAGGCAGGATAAAACAGGTATCATCCTAGCCTGATTTTATCCCCTTCAGACAGGGAGGCAAGACTGTTTCTCCAACTACACCAGTTTGTTAAAGGTATTCAGTGAAGAGCTATGCTCATTTGAACTTATGCAACACCCTTTAATTTCCCCATCCATTATTTTACTTAAGCTGTGAGGTCTCCCTATCTATCTTTGTGGTAGGAAATAAAATGGACACTCTGGTCCTCATTCTGGGGAGATATGCAGTCAGTATTATAGTAGGACTGAACTCCAGAGGAGCTCACAAGTAGGGGGGTTTGGAAAGGTCACTGTTGTTCACTATGAGGCACAGAGCTTAGCCCCTAGAAGATGCTGAGTCTGCAACACAGGGCACTAAAGACACCAAATAACACCACTAATTATGGTAACAGCAGTAAGTTCTTCAGAACTACCAAAAGGTGTTTTTCTTTCTCACAGCTAAGTTACATCCTTCATATTAGAGTGCTTGTTCACTTTTTCTTTTCTTCAATTCTCTACAAACCAAAAATACTGTATCTTTTGTATATAAAGAGGTGCTTTTATTCTGAGGGGAATCACCCCTTTTAGCTTCTCCTTTGAGCTCTTACACACTAATTATCTGCTCACTTTATGACTTTCTCCTTGGTCTACATGCTCTTTAGTGATAAAATCAGGAACTGGACAAAGTAATCTAGGCTAGGTCAAATGATCAGATTTCCAAATCATAGCTATACTTTTCTCATACTTCCATACATTGAGACAGCATTTTCTCTTAACATGATGCTGAATCTCATTAAGCTTCTCATGGTACAATGAACTCCAAGGGTTTCCTGCCTTATCTGTAGCTGACCATTTGGTTTTCGATCCAGGGTTATCTGTTGGTATCCATTCAGAACTCTGCTCTAGTTGTTTGCCTTACTGTACACTGCCTACGGGTTCTGGATGGAATAAGAAGAGCTGTCAAGCCATGGGAGATCTGGGCACATGTGTGTGGAGTAGACAGCTTAGAGGAGAACAAAGGAAGAAATGGTACAGAGCTGGGGGCAGCATGACCCTCACCACATTCAGGGTACCCAGGCCCCTGTCACAGGCCCCGGCGTCAACTGCCTGCTCACATTTAGGTGATGCTTAAGACAACAAAAAACAATCCTTTCCATACAAATGGTTACATACCCATCCTATGAACATGGTGAGAACAAGAGACATAATTTTCAAATAAAACCTCAGTCATGGGAACTGCTATCAAAAAAATGCAAACCTGACCAAAGCAATGACCGAAAAGACACATGGTTAATTTAATTTCTGAATCTATGAAAGCCTAGCAAGCCATGAAATTCCCACGTAGAGTCTTCTGGAAGAAAATGAGGGTGAAAAAAATTGTCTCCAGTTTGGAAAAACATTTCCTAACAGTTATGACTTGAGCTTGTTTTTTTGTATTTTGTGAAACACTGACTTTTGGTCTCTCCTCACGGAGAACTTCTCCGTGAGTGTAAAACTTCCCTGGAAGCACCTGAAATCAGGCGTGTGTGCTGTTCTGCTCTGAAGAACAGGGTTTCCTGAGCACTTTAGGACTCACTTCCTTCGTCCCCATCTTCTCACACAGGTGGTTCTGTCACCCATTCATACAACATTGCTCACTTCCACTTCTCAGCACTTCCCTGGCTACAGCCCTAGTCTAAGCTGCCAGCAGCCAGGGCCACAAGCTTTGTGCCCCACCGCATTCTCTCCTCCAGAGGAAGTCAGAGAAATCTTCTGGATACATAAACTGGATTGTGTTTTCCTCTTGTGCACACAGAAGGGTAGCCAGGGTCCCTCCTGCGGCCTGCAAGGCCCCACAATTAGGCTCTGGCTGCACCCTCCCTCCCCCCACAGCAAATACTCCCCACCCTCCCTCTCCTTCCATCTGCTCCACTGCACTGGCCTACAACACACCACACTAGTTACCTGCTATTCCTTCTTGAGGGAGCTCTTCCCTCAGACCTCCCAGTGGCTCATCCCTCTCTTCCCTCAGGGCACTGCTCAGAAAGGCCTTCCCAGACAGCAGGAGAAAAACACTCCCTACCCTCCTGTCCTCTTGGTAGCTTCACTGTTCTTAGTGCTTAATACCAATGAAATTTCTTCTTTGTGCATTATGTCTCTCAGTCTCTGAGGCCAGAAACCTCACAAGGGCAGGAATCCTGTCTGTTCAGTTCACCCTACACCCTCACGGCAGAACCTTAGTAGTTATTTACTGGATGAAAGAAGGGAGGAAGGGAATTCAGGGATTGTCTGGCACTAAGATACATAAGGAAATCTGCTAGGAAAACAGGTCACACTTCTTTCTATGTTCTACTGACTATTTTTTGGTATTTTTATCTATTTCTATAAATTGGGGTTTTTTAAATACTTTAACCTTGAAATTTCTGAATTGTTAAAGATCAGAGAAGAATTGCTTAATTTTGTCTCAGAAATTTCCACCAAAAAAAGATTATCAAGAGTATCAAAATACTACTGGTACTAAGATATAATAAACTCATAGTTTTCAAAGAAAAAACCCCCATCAAAAATACTATTGCTGTAACTGTGCTATCGAGGAGCAGATGGTTCTGTTGAAAGTATACCAGCATTTTTCATTACTCTCAATGCTCTTGACACAGCATTTAACTTTGTTTAAGTCATACTGTTCATCACAGTAGTATTTCCAGCTTTAACAACTGCTTCTTGGTGAACAGTCCTGTGTTTAAAAGTCTGAGAAAGAGGACACTGGAAGTTATGCCTTAAATAATCATTTTGAATCTCGTGGTTTCTGTATTAGTGAACTTTCTGGATGATGGGATTTCTCTAGGCCCACCCTTCCCTCACCTGAGAAAGGAAAAGACTGGACTCCACAGCCCCAAATGCCCCTGCCAGCTCAGTCTCCTTTCTATGCTGTCCACCAACAGCACAGAGCTTTCTGAATTCCCCCTGGCACTGACTCAACGACATCTAGAAAAAGCATCACACAGGCTTGGTCATAGGACCCCACTTGAGGATTTCCATGAAAGAAGTGGGCACCAGTGCTGGTTTACAGTGGCCTCCGTGGACTCAGCACAGAGGCCAAAGGTCACTGACGGTAAGGCTGACAACAGCCAGGCTGCTCCTGGGCAGGGCTGGAGGGGAGGAACACTCAAAGGGCAGGTTGGAGAGGCATTTTACAACCAGAACTAAGAGACAAGAAGAAAAGGGAGTACAAAGTGGCTTTGAAAATCCCTCCTCAGCTGGGGTGATACATTCACTGTGGGACAAGGGCCTGGGAAAAACCCAAGGCACTGTTTGCTTTTAGGGGACATTATAAAGACACAGACACCAAACAAAAACAAAGGATGAAAATGAAAACACTTCACATAAGCACATTTTCTATATTTCTGACTGCACTATTTATTTAGTCATTCTGACAATTTGTCATTTAAAATAATTGTTTTTCCAAAGTGAATTTAAAACTTCAAATTTGAAGCAATAAAAATAAGTTAACAACATTTCAGAGCAATTAACAACCTTTCCTAGGCTTACAAAAAATATTTTTATAGAACACCAGTTATACTGTTTCTCCACAAAACAGTCTGATGACAGTTTAAAATGGAAAAATCTACTATTAAGTAATATGACTACTTTTAATTCAGGAATATTTTTAAAACCAATCATAAAAGTAAAGAAACTATCAGAGTACTGGATACTTACCTTCTTCATGATTCACAGAAACTATTACAAAACACAGACTATCATCTTATTGTTAATTTTGTAAAGCCATTTAATAAATGGAGGCCTTAATAGTTTAATTATATGTTGAAAAACAAAAACATATGTTTTACAATATTAATTTGAAATAAACTTACCATGTCTTTTTATTCATTGTAAGCTCCATTATCATGCGCCGAAAAATAATCAAAACAGCTTTACAAGCATCAACTTGTTCTTTCAAGAGCATGGGAACCTCAGCACATGGTTCCAGCAAAAACACATTTGCAGCATTTGTCAAAAATACCTTGAAATCAACAAATTTTACATTAAAAAGTGTAATTAAACATATATATCTGAACAAATTTTCCTTAAAGTTAATGATATTAATTTTCCTCTACCAATGAGTCACCTTTGAGTTATTTCAATTAAGGCAAGTGGTGCCAACACATACTCAAGATTTTTTTAAAATGTTTCTCTTAGAATCACTTAAACAACTGAGACCCCTGAAAGACCTTTCCTTAGAAAAAAATTGTTAATGCATTTTAACACTGCAACTTTAGAAAATGTATGAATCAGAAAAGGTTTTGAAAACTTCTTTTTGACATTCCCGTACAGGAAAAGGGGGAAAAGACAAGGTAGGATCCCTGCTCTGGGTCAGACATTTGGGGGTGGAGAAGGGGGACAGGAAGATGAGCAGTGGTTGGCCAGTGGCTGGAGAAAAACATCTGATTATTATTGGACCTCCCAGAACATGAACTCTGCTGGCAGGAAGCGTGGCCAGCAGCATCCAACAGAGGTGCAGGCCTCCAGGGGCTTTAGGGAGCCAGGAAACAGCCAAAGTCACATGATTGACACTGCATAGCTTCTCGGTGCATATGTTTTTGATATGAGAACTTAATAAGTAGTAGGATATAAAACCTAAGTGAATTCTTATGATAAAAACAGGTTTTAAAAAATTTAGATTATCAGGCAACCGCTCTATGCTCGGCCTCAGACCTTTAGGATACAAGTTCACTGTCTCCTTCTGTCAGAGGTATTTCAGTGGAAAACTGTGAGAAGCACACATCTAGGCTACTATGTAGTAAGTTACTGCTTAGGGGCACTACAGTAAAATAACACTGTGTTACCATTGACACAGATGACACCAGTGACCCCTCAATGTAGGAGATTCTGAATTGTCAGTCTGGTATTGAGGGCGGATGTGCACCATCTATCTAGATACTATGCTTTTTAAATCTCCTTTGTATTCAACATTATAAACTCAGAGGATCTGGGAACAGAGCTTCTCTGGCTCACCTGTAGATGAAACGCATTAATACAACATCTTAAAATGGATGTACAAACTGACTAGAGAAATTAAAATAAACATGCTCAAAAGTCAAGTGGGTGAACTAAAATGTTGACAGCCTCTAAGATTATCTTATGCAAGATTGGAAAGGTGTCATGGCCCAATTTTCTAGAAAGACTACTAAATAAGCAATATAAGAGTTGATAACAGATGATAACAGCAATTGCAAAGAATTTATTAGTCTTCAAGTGAGAAAAAGGAAAACAAAGAAGCTTTTTGACTAACCAACTATAGTGGTTTCAGTGTAGTTTTAGTGGCTGTATTTTTTGAAATACATCATAGATCCGTTGCAAGACAGATCCTTTTAACTCAATGTATTTGGCTTCTTGATTTGAATTTGAAACTTTGCATATTCCCAAGTAAAAGTAAGGAGTCTTCATATATTATACATTTCAAAATGCCAGCTCCATGAGTATTTCTTACTACCATGTTAATACTGGTTAAGGTAAAAAGAAAGAAAGAAGGGGGACCTAGGTGGCTCAGCTGGTTAAGCATCCAACTTTTAGTTTCAGCTCAGGTCATGATCTCACTTTTCATGAGATCGAGCCCTGTGTTGGGCTCTTTGTCGACAGTACACACCCTGCTTGGGATTCTGTCTCTCCCTCTCGTTCTGCCCCTCCCCTGTTTATACTCTATCTCTCTAAAAAATAAATAAACTTAAAAAAAAAAGGCAAATTAATATGTACAAATAGTACTTGTCAACAGCAACTGCAGAGGAGGAGAATCTTATCAAACCTGCATTTGGCCATTTTTTCCTAACAAAGCAAGTAAAGGAGCAAAATGCTGGATACAAAGAGAACAAAAACAGCTACTATAATCCAAAGTAAACATTTTTGAAAGCTACAGTGCTATGTAGATTTTTATTTCTTGGTTCAGCCAAGTAGATGTAACTTACCCTTTCAAAAAACAAATTAACACTTTTCTGAACCTAGGGAGACACTGGCAGGGGAAGAGCTAATGACAGCAACTGGCAATCTACTCGGAAGACAAGGGCTGACAAGGGACACAGGGCAAGGACTCCTACATGCACTTCTCTGCTGGGGGGCACAGATTATAGCCGACTGGTACCAAAGCTCTTTGAAGCTACTCAAGTAAAATTATCTTGGGTTTTTAAATTAGTTTCAAATTATTTGCTGATTTTTATTGAAAAATAAGAAAACTCGACAGTTACAGTAAACTGCTAATGAACTTGAAAGCAAAAAGGATTCCATTTAAAGCAATCATATCAAGAGACAGATGACAGAAGCAGTCTCACCAAAAACCAGGCAACACGCAAGCCATGCCATGCCATCACCAGACCTCATGCCTGGCCCCTGTGTGGGAGGCCTAACTGGACACACCTCAGAACACAGGGTGGAGGATAAGGTACCAGGGACCAGGGGAGAGAGAGGGACTCTGTTTTCACTTCTACTCCTAACAACCTTCACCCTAGATGGGACCCAAGAGGTAATCTCCTCATCCCCATTTCTGGGAGAGAATCCTGAGGTCTGGGATAAGATTAAGTGATCAGCCAAAGTTGTTCTTTCTAACGTTCCTAAATGGTATTGGTTCTATTTTATATATTCATTCAGATAAGTACCTAAAAATTAGAGCATTTTTCATCATTCTTCATAAATAGGTGATTTTTAAGAAGAATATTCCTTATAAGATTATATAATCATCATGCTTATCTTGCATATTAGAGTCTAGGTGACTAACTACCCATATGTGTTCAGAAGATATTTTTCAGATTGAGATCTCAGCCATTTCATACTCACTGCATAAAACAATCCCTTTCATGAAACTGCAACCCACTTGTAGGTCTTGTTTGACTAGACAAAGATCTGTACAAACTGAAGGTGAGAAATCAGGAAGAAAACTCAGAAAAAGAACTTAAGAGTGGTTTACTGAGAGATGGATAAAGATATCATCACACTTTATATGTCATTATCGCAATAAACAAAATGTTCAGATGGACTCCAACTGGGGGCCTTTATTGTCTCCAGCCAGCTGCATACCTGAAGCATAGCCTGGGCCCCGGCTTTTACATTCTTATTTTCCTCTTCTGTCACACAGCCTCTGCTCACCGCACTCGTGAAGGAGTATGTTCGTCCCCAACTGGAAGAGCGCTTATGACGGGAACTTTCCGACGAGGTCTTCAGAAGATAAAAATCAGTTAACAGAAGGGGAAGAAGTACATGTTTGCATATTTAATTCCTACACTCACCAAAATTCATGAAAATGTAGGTTTTAGTAGGGTGAGATTTTTTTTCCATTTTGTTCACCACCTCCAGTACCTAAAATAGTGCCTAGTATTTAGTATATGCTGATTAAACAAAGGTCCAATGACTGAATGAGCCTGTAACACAGACCTTTAAAATGTATGATAAATTCCATTTATCTATTCATTTTGACCTTGTGATTAGTTATTAAAATGATTTCACCAATATTGAAAAATCAAAATTATGGAATTAATATAGACATTTAAAAGTGATATGTCTTTGGCCACAAATATTTTTAAATGTTTGTTGTTAATGCCTGCAACAAACCCCCACTTTAGACATAATCATCAGATTAGATTTCAAAATAGCATGCCAGAAATATAAATATGACTTTAAGTTTCTTTTGTGTCTCAGGAAGAGGTCCCACTGTGTCATTTTAGATTTGTCCAGTGTCTAGCTTTATCTAACCAGCACTGAAAGTTCCATTCTGACAGCATCCACTGTGAGGACAGCACCCAGCCCTGCAGGGAGACTTATTTATGGATGAGACAACACTGGGTTAGTCCTTTCAAGTGAGTAACATCCTAACTACTGTGGAACAGGCCACCACACAAGAAAAGGCGCCCAAACATTGTAAACTGAGTTTCTCAAATGCTATTTATTTAAACACATCAATAGTTAGGCAGTGACATTTTTAGTCTCATATAGAAAGCTGTAAAATACGATGGTTTATAAAACAGCTCTCGAGCAACACTGAATAAGGAAACTGTGATGCACACGTGGACCTAACTTGGGGGTTAGGAGGTGACCGATGATCTTGAATAGAGCACAGAAGCAGCCTCACTGAAACACGTCTTCAGGAATCTCAGCAACTTGAGGGCATCAGCTATGATAAGAGGTCTGCCTTCCTATGTCCTACTGACTGGACCCCTTGACAACCAGGTATACTTTGCTATAATATGTGTATTCCCAACTGAAACAATAGGAGATAACATATTACCTCTTTGCTGTCAGTCTCTAAAAATCCTAATTTCTCAGCATCTTCTTGGGCAACATCCTTTTTATCTGGTTCTTCCATGAAAACAGGTTTGTCCTGAAGAATCCACTTTCGATATACTTGAACTACCTTCCTTGTTACAGCTATGTCACAGGAAGGCAACAGAAATGCCTAAAATAAAAAAAGAGAAGACTCTCTTTAACTCTACACCAGCTCGGGTCACGATAGAGCCACATAACAGACATTTCCAAACATCAACACCAATTTCAGATTTTCCTCTGAAGGTTATGGGGCCAGATAGTTCTGTGCATACCAAACTTGTCTGAGGAAAAAAGGCATTTCCATAATTGGGCCAGAAAAAAACATGAAGCATTTTAAAATTAAGTTCTATATTCTGAATCATTTTTTCACAAAATGACCACCATGCATACCTGCACAGATATTCTAATTGGCTACACAAACACTGTAAAACTGGGACCCTTTCCCAATGGATCAGAAATGGATTACAAGACAAGCATCACACTACTGCAGCAGCTGCAGCCAAGTGTCACCCCTCTTCCCAGCTCCATGTTCAGGGATGCTGTGTTGGTGAAGAGGGAGTATTTACACCAGAGAAGTTGGCAAATGCTACCAATTTAGAGCTTTTTTTTTTTTTACTTTTTTTTTTTGTGTGTCTTTTCCCATTCCTTGTCTTTCCCTTTCTTTTCTTCCTCCCTCCCTCCCATGCTACCTTACCTTACTAAGAGCCAGGTGTTCAACATTCACCAGCACACCAGTGAATACAGACACCAATGTTAACAAGAGCCCCTGGTGACTGGTAGCCTTGTGCACTTTTTATGTGGACTTTTTAACATTAACAAATCTCCATATACATATGCATTAAGAATTTTGATTTAATATAAGATTCAAAAAATATAAACAAAAAGGTAAAGGGGAAATGTATTTTCCTTTTGAGTATCTGCTCTAAGGAATATTTCTGTCTGAGGAGTGAACACAAAGGAAAGGTACTCAATACTACCACAAAGGCTTTCATTCCATAGATGAGGAATTAAAATGAGACCCAGAACACCTGAAATATTTTCCCAGGGTTACAAAGTTAGCTAGCAATGATTCTAGGTCTTGACATGAAGGTTCAGAGATTTGTTTTAATACTGTCCTCAATGTTCATGAAACAGGATCCAATTACAGGCATATTACAATATAACAAAGGTTCACTTAATATATAAATTTCCATAGATGGTGGTTATGTCCAATTCCAGAATAAATGAATCTGTGTTACAACAAGACTGCAACATATCAAAGTAACAAATATTCTGACCTGTATCTCAAGAAAGACCAACAAAGACAGGGGCGCCTGGGTGGCTCAGTTATTTGAGCATCAACTTCAGCTCAGGTCATGATCTTGTGGTCTGTGAGTTCAAGCCCTGCCTTGGGCTCTGTACTGACATCAGAGTCTGGGGCCTGCTTTGGATTCTGTGTCTCCCTCTCTCTCTGCTCCTCCCCTCTCACTCACTGTCTCTTTCTCTCTCAAACATAAACATTAAATTTTTTTAAAAAAAAGAAAGATCAACAAAGACAAGAGAATGACAAAGTACAATAGTGCCCAACTCTAATTTTGTTCCAAAATTTTATTACAAATATTTTCACACATATAAAAAAGTTGAGATACTCTTATAGTGAATGACTATATACCACCTCCTAAATTCTACCATTAGTATTTGCTAGATTTGTTTATCACATATCTGTCAAACCACCCTTATCTTTCCTTCTTTCAATACATTTTCTTTTTGATGCATTTCAAAGAAATCTGCAGACATCAGTTCGTTTCACCCATAAACATTTCAACATGCATATCACTGACTAGAGTTCAAATTTGTTTATGGGGCCTTGGTTAAGATGGTGGAGCAGAAGGGAGACTCCATGCTTGCTTTGTCTCTCAAACACAGCTAGATAAATATCAAATCATTTCGAACACCCAAGAAATTGATCTGAATGTTGAGAGAACAGAGGGAGAAAAGAAAACACATTGTGGGAAACAAGAGCTTCAGAAATTTGATCCTAGGGAAAAACAATCATGGGTGCTACAGAGGGGAGGGAGCCTTGATCTCGGAGAGGAGAGAAAGAGATAGAGAAATAAAGAGAAAACAGTGCCTAGGGGATTGCACAAGAGAAACACTTCCCCAACACCACTGACTGAGAAAACTAGAGCAGCTGATTACTAGCAGCAAGTTTTTACATGCAGCAGAGCTCAAAGTCTGAAGTTTTAGAAATCCACACCACTGCTGGACAAAGCCTGTCAGGCATAGGGATGCTCCTGTGGGAAAGGAGGGCAGAGGCCTGGGAGCAAACAGTGTGGTTTGAGAATCTCCTGGGTCACACTGGAAGAGACAGTTTCCCTTATGGGAGTGCACTTGGGAGAGGCAGCAAGACTCTCAGGGGACAAAAGAGGTGGCAGGTGCCAATGTGCTGCCCCATTCATTAGCATAGGAACCTGCTTGAAACCTTCATGCCAGCTTTCTGCTGGGCTTTCCCATAAACTCTGAGCCACCATGTGATTGTGCAACTGCTTTTCTGGGATTAATCAGCACTAGCCACAGTGTGGTGAGATGCTCCCCTCAGAGGATAAGTGTGGGTCTATGCCACACAAAGTCCCTAAAATTTGGAGTTTTGAAATCCAGTCAGGTGCTGGAGATAAAACAGAGGGGTACCGTGCTGCCTAGCCAACACACACCTCAGACACAGAGAGGATAAAGGCATGATCTGATGGGAGCCAGAGACACAAGAGGGTGATTACTTGCTCTTCAGTGAGGACTTCATAAACAGCAGTAGGTGTAAACTACCTGCTCTGGAACAAGAGATAGGATGACACCATTTTCACCCCTGCCCACCAGCACTGACTGATCTCTGTGAGCAATATAGTACCTCCCATGAAGGCTGGAGCCACTTACACCAAGCCTCACCTCGCTGTGCCCTGTAGGTACATCTTTACTAGGGTAGGTTAGCCTGAGGACCAGTGCAGCAGGCACCTCCCCCAGAAGACCAGCACAAACCCCTTGCATGCATGAAGTCTACTGATCATAGAGTGCTCCAGGATCAGGCTTTTTTTAACAAGCAGACCAAAGCACACCTACCTAAAACATCATAAAGTAGTAGGCTCTAAACATTTCACACTGCAGGCAAGGAGAAAATTCTGCAAAGGACTGACCTGAAGAAAAGAGCAGCCAAAACACAACAATAGAGTGCACACTGTGAAACACTTCCTGAAATGCCAGGCCCTAGAAAATACAGGACCCCTTCTTAATTATAGCCATTATTCTTAGTAACAGAATTATAACAGGATTTCCTAATACACAAAAAAGCCCAATGACCTAGACAAAATGACAAGAACAGAGGCAACCATCCCAAAAGAAAGAATAAGAGGTCATAGCCAGGGATTTAATCAAAACAGATATAAGTAATATGTCTGAACCAGATTTTTAAAACAACAATTATAAGGATACTAGGTGGACTTGAGAAAAGCATAGAAGACACTAGAGAATCCCTTATTGCAGAGATAAAACAACTAAAAACTAGTCAGGCTGAAGTAAAAATGCTGTAAGTGAAATGCAAAACCAACTGGATGAAATGACAAGACAGACAAAGCAGAGGAATGAATCAGTGATACGGAAGATAAGATTATGTAAAATAATAAAGCTGAAAAGAAGAGGAAAAGTACTGGATCACGAATGTAGACTTAGGGAACTCAGCAACTCCATAAAGCATAATAACAATCATATCATAGGAGTCCCAGAGGCGAAGAGAGGAAAATGGGGGCAGAAGGTTTATTTGAGCAAGTTATAGCTGAAAATTTCCCTAATCTGGGGAAGGAAACAGATACTGAAATCTAAGAGACACAGAGAACTCCCACCAAAATCACCAAAAGCTGGCTAACACCAAGACAAGAGAAGAAAAACCAGGTTTACAGCATATCTGTACAGAAACTTGACAGGCCAGAAGGGAGTGGCATGATATTCAATGTGTTGAGTAGGAAAAATATGCAGACAAGAATACTTTAGCCAGCAAAGCTGTCATTCAGAATAGAAGGAGAGATAACGAGTTTCCTACCAAACAAAAACTAAAGGAGTTTGTAACTACTAATATAACAGATGCTCTTTAAGTGAGAAAGGAAGACCAAAAGCAACAAAGCCTAGAAAGGAACAGAGAATATCACCAGAGACACCAACTTTACATGCAAAACAATGGCACTAAATTCATATCTGTCAATAATCACTTTGAATGTAAACGGACTAAATGCTCCAATCAAAAGACATAGGATATCCGAATGGACAAAAACCAGTAACTATCTATATGCTGCCTACAAGACACTCATTTTAGACCTAAAGACACCTGTAGATTGAAAGTGGGGGAATGGGAAACCATCTATCATTCTAAAGGATATTTAAAAAAAGCCAGGGTAGCCATTCTCATATCAGAAAAACTAGATTTTATACCAAAGGCTGTAACAAGAGATGAAGAAGGGCTCTATATCAGAATCATGGAGTCTACCAATGAGAATATCTAACATTTGTATATATCATTCCCCCAACTTGGAATAACCAAAATACATATCAATTAATAGCAAACATAAATAAACTCATTGATAATAATACAATAAAAGTATGGGACTTTAACATCCTACTTAGAGCAATGGACAGGTCATCTAAGCAGAAAACCAACAAGGAAACAATGGCTTTGAATGACACACTGGACCAGATGGACTTAACGGATATATGCAGAGCATTTCATGCTAACAGAGCAGAATACGTATTCTTTTTGAATGCATATGGAACACTCTCCAGAATAGATCGCATACTGGGTCACATATAAGCCCTCAGCAAGTACAAAAAGACTGAGATCACGCCATGCTTATTTTCAGATCACAACACTATTAAACTTAAAGTCAACCACAAGAAAAAAATGTGGAAAGAACACGAATACATGGAAGTTAAAGAAAATCCACTAAAGAATGAACTAGTTAACCAAGACATTAAGGAAAAAAATTTTTAAAACACATGGTAGCTAATGAAAATGAAAATCCAACAGTCCAAAAGCTTTGGTATGTAGCAAAGGCAGTCCTAACAGGGAAGTCTATTGCAATATAGGCCTACCTCAAGAAACAAGAAAAGTCTCAA